TGAAAACATTTTGCTAAAGAGGGGTAACTACGTACACATAAGTATACGTTAACCTTAATTTGTTATGACAGACTTACTCTCGACAACGAGGCTGATGTTTTTCCTCTGCAATAGGCCATTGCTGTCCACTTCGCAGCTGTAGTTTGCATCTCTTTCTTTTTCAGTAAAATTTAGTTGGAATTTTACACCTGTGTTGTTTTGCATAATAGCTCCATTTTTTCTCCAAACAATGTGTGGAGCCGGTCCACCTTCCGCAGGGCACCACAAAGATGAAGGATGGTTGAACAGGACAAACTGGGTCTGTGCTACAGTAGTTAGGTTTGCAGGAGCTAAAGAACAATTCAAAAAGACTTTAAGAAAGTATTTTCTTTGTCTTGCCACGAGCGTGGGAAGAAGGGAAAATATCTGAGTTCCAAGGGGAATCGAATCTCGAAAGGTCGGATCTGCATTCCAACGATATACCTTACTTATTACTTTTACTCAATGATGCCAGCAAAAATTTCTTCAAATCAAACGCTGAAAATTCCTACCTGTTTCATTCCTTTCTTTTCCCTCAAAGCCTAAATCCCGCCCAAACCGGTATCTATGCTGAGGTGAAAATCTTAAACACATGTTATGTCCACTGGATCGCAGGGTAAAATAAGGAGTGTTCCTTCCACAAAATACACCCAGTAGATTGGCAGACTGATTATAACCATCACGGATCTCTAGATAGTCCTCATCAGCACAAGGTGCTCCAGACAACCAATCGGGCTTGAAGATGCTAAATCTTATTTCCACATATTTCCCTTTCTCCGCCTGAATGAGCAGAGTTGTGTGAAAGCGTGGGACATATTTTCGAGTGCATACTTCCGTGATTATTGCAACTGGAAACAAATAACATCTTCCCATTAGGCAATAGGTATTTATAAAAACACAGTACATCAACACTATTAATCACTGCCTGTGAAGTCAGTTCAGTTCAAATAATTTGGCCTCAAATGTACAAGAAGAATGATTTGTTTGCAATAGATCAATATACCACGGCCCGGTTAGCTCAGTTGGTTAGAGCGCCGGATTGTGTTGTGCAGGAGGTCGAGCCCCGGCCTGACCAATACTCATGCTCTTAAAATAAACGAGGAGAGTTTGCTACCTTCCTAGAATCAAGAAATGGATAGATATTCTGTCTTCTCGGATAAGGACGAATAAATCATAGGCCTCGGCTCCTGCAGGGTTAGGGGTAGGAGACGTTAATTTCCCACGCACGAGATTACTGTGTGGTGGATGTCCTCCCTTGGGTGGAATGGGTGGATGTTGGCCCTGAAAAGCCCCTATGGGGAGTATGTATGTATGTATGTATGTATGTATGTATGTATGTATGTATATCAGCGAGGGGAAGTCGCCTAAGAAAGCTAATGGTACTTATGTAAAGGACAACCCTTAAAGATTTCAGTTTTTGATATAAAATTGACAAATCTGTTACCAGCAGGACTATTTAACAATTATTCACCTCAAACTCAGTGATTAGAGTTGAATTTATTGTTGAACAATATTCACTGAGCCTGAGGTGAATAATGTCCTCGCCTTCGGCGAATAATTGTTAAATATATATATTTTTTTTTATCATGTAAATATGACGTAATTCAACCGTTGGATTGCAAAGTTATAGCGGTGCTCCCACGCGCGCGAAGCGCGAGTGGGGCAGAACCCCATACCTACGGAATATGGTCACCTCTTTATGTTTGGTTGTCACGTGACTTACCGAGCGTACGTACGTACGTGCGTGACCTCTGTCATGTATGCTATCACGAAAGTACTATATGATCAAATTTGAAAATATGGCGTCCGCGCGGCCGACCCTTAAAATTTTCAGGTCGGAGTTTTCGTTCATTTGTGATCGAGTTAGACCTTGTGGAACTCAGAATGTAAAGTAACAATGCTATAGAATACTTTACCTGGAAAAGAATGGATATCGAGGTCTTAAAGGTGACAGAATGAGCTCTCGAGTCAACGACACTACGATTCTCTAAGGCGATGCAAATTATGAACGTAAATTGAAAACCGAACTTTCGGACTTCAAGCAGGACCTAGTGACAATTTGACGATTCGATGACGCGGTAAATATTATGTTAGAGTAACAATGTGTTCAAAAAGTATTGTTTAATCTAAGATTTTGCGTGAAATTGAAGTTTTTTCAGAATTTTCAACATAACGCTGCTCAATTTCTCATTGGCCTTGAAGGCAATTAAACAACGATCTAAGCATGATGAATTTTACCGCGTGGGCTTTCAGAAATTCGTACGTTTTTCGCTTATAACAGCAAATCAAAAACTGTTTTGAATAAATCTGTCGTCCCGAAATATTTCTTGGCCATTTTAGTCTTGCTTCCCATTTATAGATACCATGGAACTTGAGATCTCTTCACTCATGGACAAATTCGCACATTCCATTTTGAAATATGATCCACATGTCCATTTGCACACATGCGAAAATATTTAGCGATTTTTGTCTTTTATCTTGATATTTGAGTTAAAACGTAATACGCACCTATTGCTTTTTTCGTCGGAAATAAGTTCTTTAATTAGTCTTCTTTCGTTGAAGCTTGTTTTTTGGAAAAGATGATTTTTAAAAATTTACTGCGCATTGTGTAAACTTGCTTTCATGGTTTCTCCAAAAGTTTGATTTTTCACAGGCAAGTGTTACACGTAAGTGTCAATGGATTTAATCCATACTGAATGAATTTTTGGGTAAAAATTTTAAATAAATGTAAAGAAATTTTATTGCAAACTTTTCACTTATTGGGATCTCCGCTTTTAGGCTTGGCTAAATCTATATATTGTAAGTAAACTATCTATGATCTATCTATCTAATTGTTTTCGTATAATTGCTTGGGTGCTTTCGAATTCTGTTCAACTGAATATTCGTTTTGAAGCTGAAACCGTTTTGTTGAAATTGTTTTGATTAGCCGTATGGAGATAAAGAGCCAGTTTCCACTAGAATTTAACAGATTCGTCAAAAGAGCAAAAACTTCACATCTTTCTTTTGAAAACTCCGAAAACTAAATAGCATCTTTATTGCTCCTTGGAATTGAATTTTCATTATCGTGTTCTTCATTTCCTTGGCAACACTAACATAACACGAGGCCTTCATCTTAAAATTTAGACAGATTATTCACCTACAAAGTGACACAGGCGTTTAATTTATGGAAGCCTAAAATTTGCACAAAAAAAACTACGTCATTAAGAGCTTTTTAAATGTCCCTCGGCGAACGCAAAATGTTCTCCAGCGTAAAAACAGGCATCGATGCGAGAATAAGAAAATTTACAAGCCTCATGCTGATGAAAAATGAATTAAACTTCTTAATTCAATGGGAACAATTAACTTACTGAAAATAGGAGTGAATTTCCACATGCTGTTGATAGACATCTTTCCTAACAAAAGCAAGTAAATGAATGTAAATTACGTGTATCCTGAAACCTATACAGAGCAAAATTCATAAACAATGCCTGTA